TAGTTTGAGCATTAACTTTGATATTAAACTATCATTACCACATTAATAGGATGACCACAAAGTTTAAATAATATTATTTGATCATTGACTGCATTGTACCAAGTATAATGTACTGTCATTGCTAAACCCTTCCAAACTATATGAAAACACCAGTTTTCTTCTTTTCTTTTTCATGTCCTAACAGTAGTATTATTTTATGAGTGAAATTGCCCTGTTATAGTTTCATTTCACTCATCCCTAAAATGTGGAGGTGTAATCAACTCCTTTCATCTTTTGTTGTGTTGAACTTTCCCATGTTCCTGCTTCTTGCTATAATTCTTCTGTACTTCTATTTTTTTCCTCACATTACAACATCAATAACCATACTGTGGTGCATGGTATACACTATTGGTACTTCAGAAGAACGTGAAACTTTTTTAGTTGCATATTCAATGCCATCCAACCTGCAAGGGACCATCATCCAGCACTATGTCATCAGGTTTTTTTATATATACATATATTTTCTTTCCATGTGGTTTTACTGGATGAAATACAAGGGTGGTTCACCATTATCACCTCATATGCAATATGAATTGGCATATGCTCCTGACATTATGCCTTCTACATAATAGGACTTGGATGGAGCGGAAGATCAATATAAAGGATATAAGACTTAAGGGGGAAAAGTCTCAGGAATAATGGAATATTAATGAGAGAATTAATTGTAGACTCTCCTTCACTAGGTATTTAGAAAAATAAATTTACAAATTATGTTAAACTTGAGTTTGCTTAACTAAGAGATGAGTAAAAGCAATCTTTTGTGTCCACTTACCCAAATGAATGACAAAACCCATGTAAAAAAGGCATTGTGTATGTATGAAGAAACCCTTTATTTCTATGGTTTATAATGTTCGTATTTGGTGATTTGATGAACACTTAGAAGTTTTTATGAATATATAGTGAGTCTGTAATATATTGTAGGTCAGAAGTAATGCTTTCCTATTGTGTATTGAGGATACAATTGCAGGTGCTTAGTTACAGTTGCTATAAGAGGAGGGATTCACAGTGAAAGTCTGAAAATTACTGGGAGGGTGGGGAGAGAGCAGAAAATCCTTTGTTTATACAGGTAGCAGGTGTACTGTGATATACAATCTGGCTTAATTGTTATCCTCATTCAGGTGTTCATCATTCATTATCTGGAGTGGTTCACTAACAAGCACCCCAAAGAGCCTGGCCAGCTGATGTTTCTTAAATGTCATTGACTGTGGCAGATGTTCATGAGTTCAGCAAGAACATCTGCATCTATGAAGTGTATTGGCTTCCACCTGAACCAGTTTCTATATTCATGTGGAAATCAAAGCGCATATAGTCATATGCACTTTGATGCAGTAGATGTTTACTCTCAACTAATCCTCATTGATCCTTCCCAAAGCTAACTGGGAAGATTATCTTCAAAGGATTCTTTGGCAGAAACCAACAGTAGAAAGATGAGGTTAGGAACAAGTATTTGACTTTTTGTGTCAACATATCTCACAGAGAATAGCCCATGAATGGCATTTTAATAGGACATGAGTACTTTGAAATGTATAGATATGTGACATAGGAGTTGTTCTTTCTACTTAATATGCTCAACAATTAATATGGAGAAGTTTACTACAGTGGAATGCATGTACAGTTGGATTAGAGCCTGGGTATATAATTTTAAAATTGTTATGAATCTTTTGCAGCACAATATTTAATATTGTGCAAATTTATTTTACTTAATCTTCGATCGAAATCAACCATGGAGAAAACTGCATCAGTCTCATTTTTGAGAGTATTAATGTGTAATCATTGATTTAGTTTTCATTTATGTTTAGTTTGATTGCGTATATGAGTTTCAAAATTTGCAAATTTGTAAATAGTTGCTTCTGAAATGATGTTGAAGGAAATGGTATGTTAATAGAACAGATCGTCCTGAAAATAAATGCCAACAGGAATCAAAGGCAACTTTTTAAAAATAATTGAAAATAAAACAATCTGCATTTTTGCATCCAATTTGGATGATGGCAGATGTACAAGTTAAGGTCTGTGTAAAATGACTCCAGATGGCTGTGAAATTTTATTTTTTCCAAATAGTCGTAGCTCGCTAAAGCAGGATACGTACTACTGATTTTCCCAAGTATATGCCAGTATTATTCTGAAGACCATTATTTTCTTTCAAAGTTTGCTATGACTGTTGGATTACCAATAGACCCCACATGGTCTAAATTAATGAGTAGATTTCATTTCTATTCATGCACAAGGAGATTGCTGATGTCTGCCAAGTCCAATTGCCAACTTTCTTTTAGCCTACACTATCACACACAATTCTGGGATTCCCCAGCCCTCAGCAGTGTCTTTCTGGAACTGGGAAATAATTGTAAAGGTTCTAATAGAATTATAAAGACCAAGCATTTTAAACAGTGAGAGCATTTTCTCTTTTCCTTTCTTTATATAAGCACAACAAAGTCAAAACTATTAAATTGCTCCTCATATAAAATAAATTTATTGTACTATACCTTTGAGCATTGTGTTAAATGAATTTACTATTACTTGCTTTTGAGTAAATCCCTTCCCTCTCACACACAGACAAAATCATTGATCACCCAGGCGTATTATAGAATATAATTCTTTATTGGCCAAGTGTGATTGGACACACAAGGAATTTGTCTTTGGTGCATATGCCCTTAGGAGAATAAAATACATTTATCAAGAATAAAAAGATACAACACTTAGTGATAGTCAAGGTTACTAATAAGCTATCAAATTGTACTAGGAAACAAATAAAACAATATAAATTAAAAGATACAAGCAACATGGTTATAGTCATAAGTGGGGAGAAATAGATACTAGGAAGGAAGTGAATAGTAATAAAGTCTTACTGACAGTGTTGTGGGAGTTAGTTGTTAAGCAGAGTCATGGCATTCCATTTGGAGGGAAAACTGTACTTGGGTCTAGTTGTTCTGGTGTGCAGTGCCCTATAATGTCGTTTTGAGAGTAGAAGTTGAAACAATTTATACATGTAAAAATCCTAATTCCTTCTCCTCCACCTTCTGGAGGATATATTTCTATATATATTTAGTTCACTCCAAAAAGAGGAGGAGACGAATTTGGGTTTTTTATGTGTATGATAGGTGTACAATATATGCATAGTATTATTTCACAACAGGAGGCACTTGGTAAAGAAAGGGAGCTGTATAAAACTTCTGTGGTGAATGAGAAAACCAAATAATAACAGTTTTTAAGATAGACCTATGAGGAAACTACTGAGAGCCAGTACAGACTAAGAGTTAAAATGCAAAATCTGATTTTGGTTTTTCCTGTCCACAGCATACCTGTCAATTAATAACATTAACACGATCATTATGTTTAATTCATAAATGTGTAAATGTTATTACATGTATATATTTATTAGACACATATCTTAAAATTTGGAGCATTACACACATATAACCAAAAGAAGAAGAAACTCTGGAGCTTCAGTCACTCAAAATTTTCTGCTGATGTACTTTATGTATAGAAGCTATTTCTGACACAATGACACACCGAAGTGTGTGATTCAGGCAGTCAGCCCTGTTTTCTGAAGGTAGAAATATTCTTCTCTGATCTTATTCAGACTGAGTCAGACCAATAGGCCTCCTCAAGATGAGACATCCCATTGAGTCAGATCAAGATATAAACACAAGTGTAGTTATAATATATTTTGTTACTCAGCCTTATGTTGCCACATTGAAAAGTGAAGTAACAATGCAAATTCTAGTTTATATTTCTTTTACTATTTTTTAAAAAAAACAATCTTTCAGTGTTAAAATAGGAATTTAAGTACACTTTCCTCTAGTACAGGCATGTCAAACTCACATTGTCATGGTGGCATCATGTGATGTGTCAGGACTTTTTTCCCCTTCGCTAAACCGGGCGTGAGCATGGCCAGTGTGTAAAGCATCCAGCCCACAGGAAGGGAGTTTGACAGCCCTGGTTTAGTAGAAGTATTTAAATGTGACAGGATTGCAGAAACAAATCTTTCAGCACTGTTATTCAGAAATGTTGATGTCTAAAATAATAATGAAGTACCGTATTTTTCAGAATATAAGAAACACTTTCCCCTCCAAAAAAGCAGGTGAAAATCTGGGTATGTCTTATACACTGAATACAACATTTTTTGCCTACTGAAACCCCACCCCCTTTGCAAAAATGGCCATGCAGAAGGTTTGGGGAGGCCTGCCAAGCTTCTGGGGGCAGCAGGGGGGGGGGGCAAAAACAAGCAAAAAACTGCCTTTTTTCCAAAAAAAAAAAAAAAAGGCCACACAGAGGCTTTGGGAGACTTGTAGAGTGCTCCTGAGGGTTTGGGAGGGCAAAAATGAACAAAAAACGGGCCATCATTTCTCATTTTTGCCCCGCCCCCAGGAGCAGACTCCCAAAGCTTTGCATGCTTTTTTTTTTTTCAAAAAACAAGACATGCAGAGGGTTTGGGAGACCTGCAGAGTGCAAAAACCTTTTTAAAAACATTTACCTCATGGTGTGTGTTATACTCCGGTGTGTCTTATGGTCCGAAAAATACAGTAATTCAGAATCATGGTATAGTTAAAGTAAAGAATTTACAACTGAATATTCAAATATACTCTAGCTACTTTTGATACTGACTAGGAAGTTTTATTTTCCTAATTATTTTGTGGAAACTATCTTATGTCCTGGGTTTAACTTCAGTACATTAAAGCACCACCCACAATTTATACAATATCTGTACAATCAATCTGATAGTTTTCTGTGCATGCATGTGCTTATATGAAATAGAGATATAGCTATAACAATATGTGATATTTTAAAACAAAAGTAAAAATGGCATACTTTAATCAATAAAATGAACTGCTGTGATGGAAAATCAAATAACCAATCAAATAACCACACTTTGACTATAAGAATGCATAAAATAATTTCTTTTATTTTATCATATTTAATATGTAATCATCAAACAAATTCCTTTTTTTTTTAAATTTTCCTAGGAACTTGGAAGCAACAGCCCACCACAGAGGAACTGGAAGGGAATAGCAATTGCATTGCTGGTGATTCTAGTTGTATGTTCACTGATCACCATGTCCGTAATTCTTTTAACACCAGGTAGTAATAAAGTTTTATTACTTATTTGTTTTGAATATTTAAACTCTAAATTGTTTGTATTCAGTTTAACAATAATATATGAATAGCTGAAACTTAGTGAAAGATATTACTATGTAAGTTAAGAAATGTCATATGTTATAGTAATGATAAGCATGCTGTAGAATGTGGTAGGATAAAATGTTGACATATTGATAAAAGATGAAGATTATTGATCATCCATTAACATCAGTACCTGGAATTGTGCATGAATCCATAAATATTCTACATCTCATCATGCACAACCTATTCCCACATCTCAGATTTCTATGATTTGAAGTAAATCTAGAAAAAAACCTTAAACAATTTTTGAAGACATCTCTAAGACCATTACAAAGCAATGGTCAAAACAGTAAAGAAATGTAAATGGCAGCAGAATTCCCTATGTAGGATGTGTCAGATTTTTCAGGTTCTAATTTCTGAACATTAGGGATGCTCAAAAGTTGTGACAAGCCTTGGAGATTGTAAAGATATTTTGGTTACTTTAATGTGATTTAGATGTGCTTGGTAAGTAACTACATACATATTTTGTTTGTTTTATTTATGCCATAGTGTTAATACTTCAGTTAAAGTAGTGAAGAATGCTAAGAGATAGATATAGGTAAAAGTTTTCCTTCCATCAATGACAGTCCTATTACAGTGGCATCATGGAAGAAGGGGTGAGGATCAATGTGGTAGTTTCAGCAGTGTAACAAATTCCCACCCATTTATACATCTGTGTGGTATATAAAGGTGGCAGGGCTTTCACTGTGCTGCTGCGATGCTCTTCTGATCTTTTGGATCTTTTGCTTTCCTATTAAATCCATTGCTGCTCATCCCATTTGGACACTGGATAATGGCATTTTCTCATGATTTTGTCTCATAGCAATGGGGAATTGAAAGTTCACTAATCAGTCCAATAGCACAGTGGTCTCCAACCTTTCTGGCTTTGTGGACCAGCAGGGGAAGAGAAGAGGAGATGGTTCCATGTGAGCAATGAGTGCGCGCAGCTGCATTTACACAAGAAGCAAGCAGGCGCACCTGCCATTCACACAAATGGGAGCTACACACATGTGCTTGCCTTCCTGCTGTGTGCACAAGTGGAACTGCGTGCACATGTGTGCTCACTTGTTACTTCCACAATCCAGTTCCAAATGGGCCACAGCCTGGGGGTTGGGGAGCCCTGTAAGAGCACAAGGCAGAGGAAACAAAGTATTTGAGCTTTGGTTGAAGTTTTCCTTCTTAAACAATGGGCAAAACAGAAGAGATAGATTTTTCTTCCTTTTCCCAAACAAATATAGTCAGGATTACGAGAGTATGGAAAAGTAAAAAATAAACCTGAACTTTCCTATGTATAGGAAAGAAAGGATAAATGAAGGATGAAAATAAGTTTGAATTAGTAGTATGAAATATATAGCAAATCACCTTACCATTCTGGGAAAGCCAAATTATTGCACAGTATAGCAAGCTCAGTAAACCCCAATTCCTATTATCTGGAGATCAGTAAAGTAATAAAAACAATATATCTTTTTCTTCTTAGGTACTAGATCTTTAATTATTTATTCATCTGATTATATGCAGACTTAGAGCAGTTAGAATTGCTACGGTCAATGAGTAATGATTGGAATACTTAAAAAGTTTTCTTTTCCCAGTTGCCCTAAAATGTAGTTAAATTGCAATAAATAGCGTACAGGAGCATTTCGCACTGGCGATTTATAGCCACACTGGATGAATTTTTATATCACCAGCTTGAGAAACCTGCTAGTATCTGATTAATAGGTCAAAGTATTTCTCTATATACAGTGTTCGTTTTTCCGGGTTTTGATACTTTTTGTTATTGTTATAAATGAAAACCCAGATATTATTTGAGAAGCAGTCCTGCAGATAACCATCTTCTCTGCTATGTAGGACTTTATTGATAACCAACTCCTTGAACTACATCTGTAAAGAAACTGGGAATCTATGTAGCTTGCACAACAGAGGTGTAAGATGGGCAAACATATGAAAACCCAATACTGTATCTGCCACTGCATTCTGGACCAGTTGTGTAGGTAGTTCAAACAACAATCTCTGAATAGTTGGTGTTAGGAATTAAGCATAACATTTCATAAAATTATACTTTTGTCTTTATTCATCTCAATCAATAGGCACTATTTTCTCCCATTTTTCTTGTTTGCTTTCTGAGAGAGCAATTAGAGAGAGTTTTGCCAATATTTTGATGCAGATTAAACTATTTTCCTATACACTAGCTACAAATAATGGATCAAAACTTCTAATTCAAAATTCTTTGGTAACATTACTTGTGAAGTGGTATCACTTGATCTAAGGAGATTCTGAATATCTCACATACTTTGCCTCTGATTTTCTGCTTAAGTTACTGCCTTAATTTTATATAGAAATGCAATTCTTGTCGGAGAGTTCAGATGCCTTGAGAAAAGCAGCGCAAGTAAATATCAAATTAAGATTAGCTTTCTCATGTATTAACATACATGAGAGACTGAGGGCCACCTGAGGGACATCTGTCACAATGAGTATTAACGTTTCTTAGTTTATAAAACTGCTGTGCTTCATGAGTTCATGTATAGTATCCTACTACTCTACTCTTTCCCTTATTCAATGGTGAAAGAAAGCCAATAAGTGCATTGGAGACTACATAATGAGCAATTAAGCAACACAAGATTGTATTGCTTTCTAAATTAATATATTTATATCTCAATGTGTGGGGATTAACCCCCTGGGCCAAAATTTGAATAGTGACCTATTATTGGAGTAACAGAGATTCCAAAATTAATTTTGTCACAATTATTTTCTTTTACCATTTCTTCAAACAGTAAATCTTAGTTGGAATAGTGGAAAATGAATAACCCCAAATGTAAAATTTAGTGGGAAAAAGAATTCTGTAAATGTTCCTAGTTGAAGTAAAGCATACAGTAGAACTAACTAAAGATGCAGTCTATTGCGGGAATTGAACAATATTGAAGCAATAAAATGAAATAAAAGTCAGTTGTTACAATACATTAGCATCATATATACTGGGTTAGATAAGACAAACATTGACTGTCATTGCAATAAACCTTCAATTAGATCAGCTGAATAAAGTATCCCACTATAATAAAGTGTTAATAGTGATCAAATTCTGCTGGTTATCTATGCAAGTATAGCTACGACAAACATTATTCTAGAATCTTTTTCAGATGATGTATACATCTGGCCTGCCCAGAGAACAGCATGTGGGAATTCTATAAAAATCATAACATATTAAAATATTAACCATTATGTTGTGCAAAGGGGATCTCCCTCCCAGTTGCAGGGAAAAGCTTCATTATCTGACTTCCACTCTGTGCTTCTGATCTAAACTAAGAGCAGTTTGCATCTGATTTTGCCTCAGATCAGATCAAAGTCCACTTCCCCACTTTACCTGTCTATGTTTCATATCTCTACCATCAACTTTATTCATACAAAAAATAATCTAAAGGTAAGACAATGTAAAAACCCCTACAGCCACCCCAGAGAAAAATATTTTGAAAGGGTTATTCATTTTTCATTGTAATTTGCTTCAACATAGAACAGAAAATGGCCAAATACATCTTCTGAAAGTGGAACCCTTAAAGGCTTTGAAACTGTATATGAAAAATCCTTGAAAACAGGAAAAATCTTGTTGCAAGAATGTCAGGGATTTCCTGCCATTTTAGCCAAGTTTTTAAGCACAGGCTAATCCCTTGTGCTTATCCCTTCTGCTAATTTGATCAGCAGTAAAGGTAAAGCTTCCCCTGCTCATGTGTGCTAGTTGTTTCCAGCTCTAGGGGGTGGTACTCATCTCTGTTTCTAAGCCAAAGAGCCAACACTGTCTAAAGAGATCTCAGTGGTCATGTGGACGGCATGACTCAACATTGAAGGCACACTGAATGCTGTTACCTTCCCACCAAAGTGGTTCCTATTTTACTACTTGCATTTTTTACGTGCTTTCAAACTGGTAGGTTGGCAGAAGCTGGGACAAGTAATGGGAGCTCACTCCATTACGTGAAACTAGGGATCCAAACTGCTGAACTGCCAACCTTCTGATCCACAAGCTCAGCGTCTTAGCCACTGAGCCACCGCATCCCTTTGGTCAGCAGTACACACCCAAAAATAAAGTTGTAAAATCTTGGTTTTATAGTGTCAAAGAGTAATTGCATCCTCTCAACAACTGGCTCAACAAAATTCACACTTCATTCCTAAATCAGATATTGCTTTAATCATGAATAAACCACAGTAGCTGAATTCATACCATATGCCTATCTAACATAAAATAAATTACTTTATGTTTTATACTATAACATTATTTTATTTTTTGAATTCAGTTACACGTGATCTGTTCTATGCTAGTTTACTGATGATCTTGAATCTAAGGCAAGGAACTTTAACTTGGTTGAGTTATGGTCATAGGGTTCATTGGAATTTATAGATAGATAGATAGATTGATTGATTGATATCCTTTTTCATGAATTAATGTGCAAATAAACATTATTTTGAAAACATGGAAGGGATGACAGTATTTTAAGCAAAAATTTATCTATGAACTCTGTGCTTTAAAATTAATAGTTTTCTTTATTAAAAGTTTGCTTTTTATTGCAGATGAACTGTCAAACTCTTCAGAAACAAGATTATCTTTAGAAGATCTCTTCAGAAAAGAGTTTGTAGTTCACAATCCAGATGCGAAATGGATTAATGGTATGTTGAATAAGTTGGATATGTTGGACAAGGACTTTGAATAGAAAATACAAAAAGTGAATTATATTTTACTAGTGTACATATAACTAATGTACATTTAGAGAGTATGTTATAAATGTAGAATGCTGCTTGTTAAGTGCTGGACAGATTTAAGGTTCTTGAATCAAATCTTTATTTAATCATATTTAGGAAATCAACTAGTCTTATGTTAGTCATGTTTTCTGTGGGTAGATTCTAAGCAACCCCAAGGCCAAACTCTTGATAGAGATAGATAATCAGCCTTTTAAGGTAGGCAAGGTCAAGAAATAGATAAGTATATATGTAGCTGTTAAGTACAATTTGATCCATTTTATGACCTTTCATTTTATGATCCACAGTTAAATGAATCACTGCCATTATTAAGTTAGTAACATGGTTTTAAGCAAATATTGTTTCCTCATTGACTTTGCTTGTCAGAATAACCCCAGGACATTTCGAGCATCATAAATATGAACCATTTGCCATGTGCCTGAATTTTTATCATATGACTGTAGTATACTGAAATGATTGTTAGTATGGAAAAACTGTCATGTCACTGTTTCCACTACTGTAGTTGCTTTGGATGGTCAGTAAACAATGGTTGTAAGATGACTATTTATACTCTCCTCCATCTCTTCTCCCATAATTACTCAAACTTGCAATGTAACTCTGACCCAAATTTTAATCTCCGATAGATTGCAAGCAATAATATTTATTCAGTCTCCCTAACCAAACCAATCCTGTCCAAGTAGTTCACATTTCTCTTCTTTTATTTTAATTATTCCTTTCCCTATATCAATTCCTCACCTGGCCTTCCTCAGTACTATATGCACATTTAAATTCTGTAAAAAGTGGCAATATTTACAAAACATTTTTTTGCTAGTGTACTTTTCTATGCCCCAGGGTAAAAAGCAATATGAGAACGGAGAATAAAAAAGAGAAGTGATTTACTGAAAAAAGAGCCCCAAAGTGATTGAGAATTATGTTTAAGCAACTTGAGAGCCTTGAATAAAATGTATAAATCAGAGAAGATGTGCTATGTGAAATAATTGGATCTGTTTCATATAAACATGCTAAAGGTCATCAAGATTGTAGATTTAAAAAATGACTGATTACTTAACCTATAACTAGTGATAGAACTAAAAATAGGAGCTGCAAAGACATGGCAATGGAAATATAATGATACGTTCATTCATAGTATAAACTCTGCTATAATACTAATTTACAAAATTGGCACTAAAATCATCAAAATTATTGAATAATATTCATCACTCATTCTGCAATCAATTTCCATATTTCTTTTGCTGACTTTTTAGTTACAATGGCCACGGCAAGTTGGCTGTGGTGCGTTGTTTTATTCGGGTTTAACTGTGATCATGGAGTTAACATAACATGGATACATAGCTAAACATAGTAGATAGGGGCTGACAACTAGGGGATCTCTGGGGTTATATTAACTCTACAAAGTCAGCTACATCTTTTGAACTGGAACATAAAGTTTGTAGACAAAAAGATAAATTCCTAGGGAATTTCCTGTGTTTCTGTTCTTTTTACATTTAGTTACAATGATCATATATCTTTTTCTTCTCCATTTGATGATTTTAAGTACCTACACTGTAATAGAAAACACATTGAGATCTTTTAGAATATCAGCTTTGAATTCAATATCTTGCCTCATAAGACTTGAATTTATAGTTCTACAAGTATAATAAACAAATAATGTTACTAATGTTACTTTAATTTGTCGAATAGATAAATGGATTTGATTATTCAAACCTGTCACTTTTGAAAGGATTCTTTTTATATGCTTTCTTCCTAATTTATGTTGCAATTATTAAAACTGTATTTTATTGTATTCTAGTAATTATAAAGCAATAATTCACTAGGAACATTTTTAAAGGAAATTATGTATGAGTAAAAATGAATGGAATACTTTTCAATGAAAAGTATTCCACTTCCAAAGACTTAATTTTTTGTTCAAACACTGATTGTTTTCAAATGTATGTACACGAAATGAATGCATATGTAGCTTCAATTTAAGACCATATTGGGACAGGACCTTCTGTTGCTAAGCAGGTGATAAATAAGTGAGTTGCGCCCACTTTTAGTACCTTTTTTGCATGGTCATTAAGCAAATCACTATGTGAATCACATGGCTGTTAAGCAAATTTAGCTTTCCCCATTAACTTTGTTGGAAAGTGGCTGAGAATGTTGCAAAAGGCAATCATGTGATCACAGGATGATGCACCCAATGCATATCAATATCAATATCAATACATTCTGATTGCCAAGAGTCTGAATTTTGATGCATGACTCTGGGGCTGGTGCAATGGTTGTAAGTGCAAGGACCAATCATAAGTCACTTCTGGTGGTAACTTCAAGCAGTCACTAAATGAATGGTAATAAGTCAAGAACTATCTGTATGTGCTCTTTGTGTGTGTGTGTGTGTGTGTGTGTGTGTGTGTGTGTGTGTGTGTATACATGTGTGTGTGTGTTTATTAATATAAACAGAAGTTTGTACTTACTGTACTTGCTGCATTTAAGTATTTAAAAACTGAATCATATTTATCACAGTCTTCTTTCATGTTTGAATTAATATAGTTAATAATATTTCTAGATATATGCTTTGTGCTCATCTAGAACTTGAAAATCAATCACCTCCATTTTGTGTCATAACAAGCAGGGGTTCCTAAGATTAGGCCGTATTTTTGGTAAAGAAAGACATGTTCAGATGAGCTGAAGAATTCTAGACCAAACATACTTGTGGTTTTGTCTTCTATAAATGAATGGAATATGTATATTTTTATGTTATAGTAGATAAGCTTGAATAATACAAAGAAGTTAAGAACAAAAATACAAAAGGCAAAATGAAAATAGGACACAAGTAAAAGCATTGTGAAGGGAAATGTCGGTGACTCATTCCCCCTTCCATTCTTTTTTCCCAACTTCTAACTACTAGTTAAATATTTATTCTATGTTTTTAATATTTAATGTTAAACATTGAAATTTGTTTTGTTTATATCTATTTAAGTCATTTCACCTGTTGTTTTTAATTAGTCTCTTGACTCTTCCTAGAAGTCATATTTCCCAATGTTTGCATCTGCCTTTCTGGGTGTTGGATAATATAGAGGGGAGTCATTCTTACTTAAATTTGGTTAAACTTGTTATGGGTATAACTTATCACTTTTGACATTACTGCCTATTCACCAATTCAATGTAGGCATATGTATATCTATGTATTTGTGTATATATACACACATATCCAGATATACTATGATACTTTTCAGTTATGCTTTTTAGAATTATCCTGAATAAAAATATTTGCAATTTCAGTTCAAATTTTATGTTTTTTTTAAATTCTGAATATTGTGATTTATTTCCTACAAATACTTTTGAGGAGGTTTTGTGCATTAGTACCACAGGTAACAAAATGTTCCGTTTTTAACTTTGACATTTCCAAAATTTATTATTACATTATTTATCCATCTTGGAGTTACTTGATGAAGTAATAAACCACCTATAATACATTTTTTTCCAATTTTCTCTCATATTATAGTTTGTAATGCTTATTTCCTCCTTCTTACCACTGTGATTACTTCTTTGAAACTTAGCAACTACTTTGTCATATATTTTTTTATTCTGCATCCATGCCATATTTCATTAACAATTTGTAGATGCATTCCAATAAAGGATCTTTGTTCTGTATATCTCTCTTTCTAATATTATCATCTTAAAGTCCCTCCTTTATTAAGGTCACTTTTTCTTCTTCCAGCAATTTATACATCTGTTACTGGAGAGGTAGGTTGCCAATTTTTCTACTACCGGTTCAGGCGTGCTCCTGCCCATGTGTGATGCTTCTGCACATGAACAGAAGCTTCCAGGCAGGTGGGCAGAGCCTCCCACCACCGCTACTTCCAGTTTACCCGATCCAGGCCGAACCGGCAATAACTTATCTCTAGTTAACTGGTATATTCCTTCCTTTATGAAGCAATTCTTGCTTTGTCTTTAGTCTATTTTCTGAATTTGGATGCAGCATAGTAGTATGAATAATTAATTATTTCTTGCTAAAGTTATCCTTGAAGTAAAAAACAATTTGTTGGTGGTACTAATAGAGAAATGTAATTTTCAGAAGATTCTAAATAGTTAACCAACTTTGTCTTATAAATATACCCCCTTCAAATTTCTTCCTTTGTTCTAGCTATCATAAAACGGTATAAAGTCTGTTTGTCAAGACAGCTTCTTCTATATTTGATGTTCTGTTACTTAGAGATTGTGCCCATTATATTATCCATGATCAACAGCCTGCTCAATAATATAATTTAAGTTAGGAATTAAAAATCCACACTTTTAATGAGTCTTGTAAACTGAATATTATTCTTGGTTTTTCTCACTCTATTTGAATCTGTTAAGTGCTCTTTGCTGTTCTACAAATAATTGTCTGATATTGCAATCAGTGCCATTTGAAATAAGATATTTATCTTAGACAATATAGTTAATTTTATTGTTGTAATGAAACCCAAGAAACTTTTAAGTTTTTCCATCTTTAAAAATATTTTTTATTTCTTTCCATAATTTATTATAACTGTTTGGAAATATGTCTTTGTTAAACCCTGTCAAATGCAGTCTTAAATATTTCATTAGATCTTTTGCTATTTCACAGCCAATCTCTTTCATTCAGAAGCATTAGCTTATTTTGAGTATGATGTTAACATCCCTTAATGTGATGTCATATATAACACAGATCACTTGTAAAATCTAATATGCAGTGCATGCTGTGTTATACGTCCATTGTCCTTATCCAGCAAAAATAAGAGATGTATGCCTTGGTTCTTAATGAGTGAATACTTATCAACAATGATATAATCAGAACATGGTAATCTGTGGGATGATTTTTGGAATTAATGATATGTTTGTCCTTGTTCACCCAATATGCTCAACTAGGATCTATGACAATTCACCACGGCCAACTTGCCACAGCCAAC